AGTAATATTCCTCAAATATTAAAATAACGTGTTTAGGCTAACTGGCAAAAATCAAAGAAGAATATGCAAAATATGCAAAAATTTGGAGGAAAATCAAAATTCGGTTCCATGTGATTAGAAATTGAAGGAGAAATTCAAAGCTATCATAGGTTGACCTTAACACCACAGCAGCAAAAGTAGATTTTACTCAAAATCAAAATGCCAGTTCATTCATTCTAATTTTAGTGTCTGATGTCCAGACGTAGTCTACCTTTCAGAATACTAGTTCTGAAAGTCTTTAAACACGTAAAATCCAATTTAGACCCCTATCAATTATTAAGTTACCGTAGAATGCCTTTCAAATGCCTTTCATAATTAGCTCATTAATGTCACTGCCTTGGGGTACTGCTTACCAAGTACTTTACGGCTCATAGTGGTTTTTTTTTAGGCTAAACACACTTTAACTGGAAAATTTACAGGTTAAGATAATTTTGGAACTTGAAGCATCCCCCACATATCTTCAAAAAGAAAGAAGGAAAAGACAAGGAAGGATGAAAGGAAAGACTTGTGGTCGCAACTGAACAAAAGAACACAGACAAAACTTTTGTCCAAAACTAAAGTTCTGAAGGTGAATGAAAAATTTCTAGCCAGAACCTCATGACATATGAGAGTCAGACTATGCTAACTTAAGTAGGTATCTTTATTCAGATATGTGAAATAATAAAAACTAGCAGACAACTCAACATCTTAATAATGAAAAACCGAAAGTATCAGAACTACAAGTGAGTGCTGTGAAAGTCAACAATTGTCTACTACCAATAAAAAGTGAAATCTTCTGAATATAACCACCATTAGTCCCTGTTTAAGGATTCCAAGTAAAAGGAGGATTCAGCTTGGGATATACACAGAATACCACAAGAGAATGTGGTGCCCACTCTAAAAATACAAAATAGTTGTAATATTTTTTGAAGCCACTCTCCAAAAATGAGCTGAGTTGCTAAACCAACCAGGTAAACTGAATTCCAAAGTGTGACAAGCCCTTCTGAAGAAAGATATGTACAAAGTGCTTAAGGTAAGACACGAGAGAGAGAGAGAGAGAGAGAGAGAGAAAGGGAGCAACCATGTGAACAAATAAGCAGAAAACAATTGGAATTGTAATGGTTTCTTAAAGATTTCACATAAAGAGATTACAAGACTTATTTTGATAATTAAAGGATAATCCTTAGAACCCTTCTTAATAAAACAATTTTTTAAAAAAGAACAGCTACCATTTAGTATGAGTTTACTAGATGCCAAGCATTATGCTAGCTCTTAACATACTTTATCAGATTAGACAGCACAAGTCAGTAAGAAAGGACTATTGGGGGGTGCCTGGGTGGCTCAGTGGGTTAAGCCGCTGCCTTCGGCTCAGGTCATGATCTCAGGGTCCTGGGATCAAGTCCCACATCGGGCTCTCTGCTCGGCAGGGAGCCTGCTTCCCTCTCTCTCTCTCTCTGCCTGCCTCTCTGTCTACTTGTGATCTCTCTCTGTCAAATAAATAAATAAAATCTTTAAAAAAAAAAAAAAAAAAAGAAAGGACTATTGGTATCCTTGTTTAATAGAGGAGGAAAGTGTACAGAGGGAGCCAGTAGTTTGTCCACATTCCCACACAGCCAGTGAGTGGCAAAGCTGGGATTCAAACCTATTCATCCTAACTACTACTGGGATACTACAGTCTTTTTTCAAATCCAGACATACCTTCTTAATGCAATTTAAATTGTTTAAATAATTTCTTCTGTTTGGTTTTCACAGTGAACAAATTAGAAACATTCTATTAGTTATTCCTTTAGACATTTCAAGATAGAATGCTAGAAAAGTCATGTTTAATATAGAATTTAGTGAAGTCTTTTCACCTCCCAGGTAAGAATGCTATATTACTTACAGGTAACATATGACTCTAATTTACATGGGGAAGGTAGGAAAGAAAACCAGAGCAAATTAGAATAGGGAAAGAACCCTTCTGTTCTTGCTCCAATCTGTCCATCACAGACAGCAATAAGCTACGGAGATATAAAGATCTACCTTAAAAATAATGGAGGAAAGATACTTTTGAAATTTGACTGGCAGGTAGAAACTTCTTGCTATATAATCGTTGTTGGTCTTTTGTTCCCCCAAGCTAACTAACATTAAAAAAAAAAAAAAAAACTAAAGAAATCTTTAAGATTTATTTCGTGCTTTGATGGAACTAAGGAGAAAAGCACATCACTCTTCTATTTAAATACAATCTCTTTTGTTGTATTTGATTTTCAAAAAGAACACTAATATACTACAGAATATACACACAGTTTACAGTGAAATGTAGTTTCCAGTCCTTTTTGGACCCTCCTGTGCCCTTGTAATATTGACCATTTTGTCTCTTTTACAACAAACACTTTCCCAATTTACAAAGTTGCTCTGTATTCTACCTCAAGCTTCCAAAGAGTACTAAAAATTTCTCTAATGTCATTTGCAGAGATTAAAAAAAAAAATCGTGGGGCGCCTGGGTGGCTCAGCGGGTTGGGCCTCTGCCTTCGGCTCAGGTCATGATCCCAGGGTCCTGGGATCAAGCCCCACATCCAGCTCTCTGATCGGCAGGGAGCCTGCTTCCTCCTCTCTCTCTGCCCGCCTCTCTGTCTACTTGTGATCTCTCTCTGTCAAATAAATAAATAAAATATTTGGAAAAAAATCGTAATTCATTTGTCCTAGATACTGATCTAGTAATTCTAGTTTCAGAAATTTAAGTTACACCTTTCATTAAATGGGAGGTGGGTATGCTTAATCTTGCTTCTTGAGAGCAAGATTAAATAAATGAAATTAACCAGGAAAAAAAAAATCCGTTATCAGTAGGAAACACAATTTAATTCTTGAAGAGACCAGACTGCATTATCTATGTAGCTGGTAATCTCGTCTCTTCAATAGACACAATTCCTTATATCAGACTCCCATGTACCAATTTAAACTTTTATTTACTATATAAAGAGAACAGCCATGATTAGAATAATGCAGAAAAAAAAAAAAAAGTATTCCTATTTCAGCAAGCTAAAGTATTTTTGTTACCAGGGCAAACTGTTAGTAAAATATCTATTCTAGAATTTGAAGACTGATTTTCAAAGCCTGAATTCTCTGAAGCCTCCTACAGAAGGCTTCCTGCCCATCAATTCTCAAGTATTCTGAGAACTAGAAATGTTACCTGGTTCCTAGGAAACTACTTGCTGAAACCTACTATCAGGATATTTCTCATCTTTAAGTTTAAAACCATCCCATTAGATCTTCCTATCTATAAGATCTACTTTATATATCAAAACTTTGTTTATTCTCATCATGGCATTTAAAATATTTTTTCCTTGTTTCTTTCTCCTCCATTAGTGTAAACACTCCGTCTTACTTTAAGACTATAACTCTTAAGAATATACAATTACGATCTCCGAGGAGTTGCAATTTTAAGGGAAAGGATGTAGATTTCAAAGGAAGGCAACTGCTTTCTCCTTAGCCAAAGTAACATAAAAGAAACTTTATGTAAAAAATCAGAATATTGCACTTAACAGCATTTCCCATAACATCACTTTAATGAATTGTGAACATTCAGCCTAGTATTTTTACCTAGTTTAAATCAACTTGTAAGCATATCCCTTCCTTACACCAATTTCACTTATTTTCAAGAAAAAAAAAAAAAACAACTAAAGATTCGTGAATACCTTAATCAAGAAGTGGTCACTTTTCAAGCTAAGCACCGAGCCTGAAACCAACACATACCCTGGCAAGAGAGGTTTAATTCCAGCACACAGCGAAATCATTTCTTAATGGTATGTCATACTGTTTTTTTAAGGTATGTCGTACTGCATACTGAAGTAATAACTCTAATATTTTTGTGATGACTTGGGTCTGCTTACTTCTGAACTTTATAAATCCTCTCCATTTTTATGAGGGTTGGAATTTATTCCCCTCCTCTCTTCCACTGTTTTCCAGGGGTCACGGTTATGGTACAGTGTGCACAATGGATTTCGCATGGTCATCCTACCTCAGAATATGGCACACTCCCTCCTCTAACCGCCTCCAAACTCTTCCCGCAGGAGACAGGCTAAAAGCAGCTCGCTTTTAGACGGCGACGCAACCAGACGTAGCCGGTTGAATGCAGGTGACCGAATGGCTTCGCCGGTGGCCCGTAGCGCTGCGCTTTTGCAAACACACGGTCACCTTATTTGTTCCCGTGCCGGCATTTGTGAAGCTCGTCAAGGCTTCGAGGGGATGCGCAGCTTTCCCTCCGCGCACAGGAACCATTGTGTTCTTCGGCTCACCTAAAATCAAACCACCGCCTCTCCTTCGAACTGCGCTTCAGTTTACACTACGCTTTCACAAGCGTTATCTGACTTGACCCTCACGCCAAGCGTGTTCTCAAGATAAGCCTCGAAGCCGCGGTGCCTATTTTACTGTTGAAGGAATCCTGTGCACAGACCCAGTGCTAAGGGTCACTCTCTCCCCGATGGAGGAAGCAGCTTCCCCGCGGAGGGGACAGCAAGTGTGACGCCCGCGGCCCGCATCCTCTCACCTGGCCGGCGGACCCGGCTACCGCCTTCTATCAGTGGCCGGGAACGTAGGCCCGCGGTAGCGGCTGCTCGGGGTCTCCGAGGTCTTCTCGATCTCCGCCTGCGCTCGGCCTCAGACCCCAGACCCCAAAGTGCCTCACGCTCTCGCCATCAGGCTAACAGTCCGATCTTGCCAGACAGCGTCTGGAAGGACCGGGAAACTCCGCGCTCGCCACTACCGTCCGGGATCTGGGACCTACAGTCCGAGGCGACGGCAGTGACGATCACTAAAAGGCCTGCAGGCTCTGGGGGGATGAGGAAAACCCGTCCCCAGTCAAGCGGCTGACATTTCCCAGCCATCCGGAGCACCGCCCACTTCCGCTTCCCCGCCTACCCCTGTGGGTAGCCCAGCCTCACAGCCGCGGGGGGTTGTGGGTATCTCGAAGGCGGGTAAAGTAGCGACAAGGAAGTAGGGGAGAGCCTGCCGGACTAGGCAGAGCCGAAACTACAGTTCCCAGCAGGCAGCGAGGCCGCAGACGGCTGCGGCGGAGGAGAGCGAGTAGAAGAGCCCTGCGCGCGCGGCGAAGATGGAACGTTGCTAGAGTTCGCGGGTCTTGCTGCTGGGGGTCGGAGCTGCACGCCGTGAGCCGCCGCGCGCCAAAGCGGGAATCCCGGAGGCTAGCAGTTCTGCAGTTAATGTACGCATTTAAAACTCCAGAACCTGTGGACGCAATGCACAGGTAACCCGATTGCAAAAGGGGGCGGCGAGTGAGTGAACCGTCTCAATTTTTAGGCCGCGAACATTGCTGCTTGCTAATATTGTTACAAATGCTGTAACGTGAATAGTTGCTTAGCTCCTTCTTTGGGAAGGTGTGGATGGCTGGGTGCTTTAGTGCGGTGATCAGCGTGCGGTTTTATTTGCCTCCCTTGTTGAGCTTTCCTGTTGCTGTTTTCATCGTTGTGCCCTCCCACTCGTGTGTTCCCTCCACTTTAAGACATTCTTGAGGCCTTCCCCGTGATCGTAAATCCAGAAGCCTTTTTGATTTTCGGTTATTTTCTCTTTCCTTCTTAGAAACTCGCCGCCAGCACTTAAAAGCGATTCCATGAGACGCTGTGAAAGTTCCGTGCATTCATTGCATAACTTGCAGTTTCATTTAGGCCTAGCTTTCAATTACTTACGGGTGTGCTTTTGAAAGAAACCGGGGCTGTTGTGCACTTTTCCAGGAAACACCTCCAGGAGATTCCCGACCAGAGTAGCAACGTTACCACCAGCTTCACGTGGGGATGGGATTCTAGCAAGACTTCTGAACTGCTCTCAGGCATGGGGGTCTCGGCCTTGGAGAAGGAGGAGGTGGACAGTGAGAATATCCCCCAGGAATTGCTTTCCAACCTGGCCCACCCTCAGAGCCCTCCCCGAAAACGGCTGAGAAGCAAGGGGAATGAAAAGGACTTCGTGATAGTCCGCAGACCTAAGCTAAATCGAGACAACTTTCCAGGTGAGGTATGAGGGTAAAACTGTCGGTCACATAAGAGGTGGATTGAAGTATTTTATTGGTAATCTTTGTTCAGCGATCTTTAGGAAGGTACGCTTTTAAAATTGCCACTTCTGAAGTCGTTTTTCAAAGAAATGGGACAACTGGTCACTGAAATCTGAAGGAATCTTGGTAGGTATATATTTTCAGGTGCACAGTTGACTTTTAACCCGTGTGAAATTTTAACCCAGGAGAAGACATTCCTGCCTCTTTCCTTTGAAGGGAATCTGCATGTTCAAAGGCCAGTTCGGTGCCACTGATAAATGGAGACATAAGCAGTAATCTTGCAGGATTTTTTCGTTTGTTTATATTCTGCTGCTGTATAGCCTTGACTGAGTTTGTTGCCATAATCACTTTAGTTATTTGTCAAAGGACTGCTAAAGCGAGTGTTAAACTAAGTGTAGGGACTTATATCTCCAGGAACCTCCCAAGCGGATTTTTCTGGTATGCTCTGTCTCCATTACTGCCAGCATTTTCTGTTCAGTCACCCAACCAGAAACCTGAGGGTCAGTCCCTTCCCACCATCCTCCAGCATCCAACCAGTCATCGAATCTTTCCGTCTTGTCTCCTAGATGTTTTTCAAACTCTGATTATCTCTTGCCTGAATACTGGAATGGACTCATAATTCCAGTCTTATCCTCCACAGATCCACTCCCAGAGCTAGAGCGGACTGACTGACGTGTAGAACTCACCATATCATTTCCCTCTTTGATAGCTCCCCATCCCCAGCCTTCTCCAACAGGTCAATGAGTGCCTCCCAGAGTGGAACAGAGCCCCAATAGTACAAAAAGCCATAGAGTGATAGGGTAAACACAGTACAATGACTTGGGGTTATCAGCTTTTCTTGCCAGTAAGTCATCTAAAACAGTCCTGCAAGTATTTGCTGAGCACATGCTATGTGGGGGCATTGTTTTTGGTGTTGGGGAGAAGGCAGCAAACAAAATCTAAACATTCCTGCCCTCGTGAAATTTCTGTTCAAGGGAGAGGATGCAAGGAACATAATAAAGGTGGTTTGTAGTATGTTAGAATGTGATAAATGCTGTGGCCAAAACCAAGTACAGAATAAGCCAAGAGGGATTGGAAGTTCTGGGGTGGGAAGATGGATTGCAACCTTAAGTAGGGTATGGAGGGAAGGCCTCACTTAGACACAAGCTTTTTAATCAAAAGCATAAAGGAAATGTGAGGAATGTGCCATGCAGATATCTTGGAGAAGAGAGCTCCAACCAGAGGACAAAGTCAGTGCAAAAACCCTGGGGCAGAAGCATGTCATGTCTGCTTAATTAAGAAGGAAGCCATATATGGAATGAGCAAAGGGGAGAGTAATGGGAGATGGGGCTGGAGGTGGTGGTGAACAGAGTTGTGATAGGACGTTTTAAAAGGACACACTGATGTGTTGGGATTAAACTGTAGGCAGGGTCAAGCGTAGAAGCTTAGAGATTTGTTAAGAGGTGTGGGAGTGGTGATAACTGTGCTCAGATTCTGGATGAATTCTGAAATTAGAGTTGACAAAATTAGGAGGCTATTAAAGTAGTCTGTAGAGGAGGTGATTAAAGCCTAGACAGGAATTGAGTGGGTGATAGGGGAGAAGAAACAGATTAAAGAAATGAAGTCTTGCAGAGCCACTGTAAATAAGTATATTCCTCAGTTCTCCCATCTGACCTTCTTTGAAGAAGGGTTAGTTGGTTCCTTTGCTTTAAAAATACAAAAACAAAAAACTGTTGTTTGGGGATTTTGACTTTCATTGGGAAAGAGAACCTGCAGATTAAGGTCTGGAAATCTACATCGGGAAGGGGTGAATTAATTAGAAAGGCAATAAGGAATTGTGAAGTCAGACAGATGTGACTTTACATCCTAATTCTGCTGTTTATCAACCTTGGGAAGTTATTTAAGCTCCCTGTACCTTTGTTTCTTTGTGAAATGGAATAATCATACCCACGTCATATGTTGGTGTGAAGATTAAGTGAGAGAGTGCACATAGAGCTCTTAGCATGCTGTGTGCATGTAACACATGGTAAGTGACCCCAGTTAATCTGGTCAAAATTTCTGACACTCATTTTGAAGCCACTTCACTTTTTCTTTTGTCCTTAATCCTGTTAACCTGACCTTGTTAGTATAAGAATTTTTTTTTTTCCTCAAAATTTAATGTTCATGTTATTTTCAGTGTCTCGAGTGCAGCACTGGCAGTTTGGTTCTTGACCAACTAAATGTGGTGAAAGACACTTTCTGCTAAGATGAGCAGGTTTTGATTCATTTGCCTAGTGCCTGTGGCTTTTAGAAGTTGAGCATGATTCCTGTGTGTCCTTCCACAGTCATACCCAGAGAAAGACATATAAATAAAAAAGTCATTTTTTCATCCAGGCACTACAGAAGATGAAGGGATGGTTGCTGTTTGTAGAAAATTCCTAGTAAAGCTGAGGAGAAAAGACAATACGTACTAAGAGAAGCTCAGAGCAAAAGATGGCAGCTAAAACCGTAGCATTCAATGAGCCTTTCAGGTAGTCAGTGCTCTAGGAGGCCAGAGGAAGGAAATCCCTTGTGCCGAATTGAGCCAGGTGCGGCTTCCCAGGTGCAGAAGGGCTTCCAAGGTGATTCCCAGTAGATGTGAACCATCTTTCTCCTCCTCCTCCTTAGCACATGTGGAGGCTCTGAGGAAAGAAAGATCTGGAAATGGTCCAATCAGTCTAGATTGTTAAAATTGACGTCAAATATACATGTCTGAAGTGAGAGAAGGAAAGAGAAATAAAATTTTTGTGTTTGTTATTACCTAAGAGAGAGGCAGAGAGGGAAACTAATTGCATACGTCATATGTGCGTGGTATTACCCAAAATATGGCTTGGTTAATTGGTGTGGGGAGGTAGATTCACTGATGGCAGGAGGGACAGCTGGGCTAGAGGACTCCCAGTGGGCCTCCAGTGTATCTGGATCATGATCGGCTTGGGGGGAGGGGGGTTGGGTTGTCTGCAGTTGTCAAGACAGGTGGCTAAGAGCTCTGCCAGGATTAGGGTAGAAGAGGCCACACCTGCTTTATGTAGCGATCTGATGACAGGGGCCCTGGGCTATGAGTTTTTCCTGGTTCTTCACTCATCAGTCTCCCTGCAGGCCCCATGCCAGACTCACACACGTCTGGTGACTAAATCCTCATCATCATTTTATTTGGGAAGATAAAAAACTGTGTGGCAAAACCATATGAGGACAGGTCTGTGCGGCCCTCTGGGTGAGTGGATGGAAGGAATTGGCAATAGGTGGCTCAGTCATGAGGTTAATAAGAGGCACAGAGAGGACATCACTCACAGTCATTAAATGCTGTCTTGGTCCCTTTTCTCCCTACCCCCTCCCCCACCAACCAACAAGAGGGCCATGAAAACACTGGTGAACTAATTTGTTGATTAGCTTTTTCGTGGCTGTTAACCAGCTTGACATTCCAGACCCTGAAATGGTTCTCAGAGTGGAGACTCTGAAGTTTAGTGTCTGCTGAGATCCCCGAAGGAACTTGTTCAAAGTGCAAAATTCCTGAGATTCTGATCCAAGAAGTCATCATGCCTGGTTCCTGAGAATCTGCTTTTTAATGTCCCCAGGCAAACATTTTTCCTCCCGTTTTTTTTCTTCCAACCAGTAATAAATGTATTTTATGTTGTAATTCTGGGCATGTGCCAGAAACAGAAACTTCACAAAACTATATTTCCCCTTACTAAGATAATACCCTGCTCCATTCCATTCTTTCCAAACAGTGCTGTTCAAACTAAATTGATTTCATGAGTCACCAGTGAATCTTAGCCCGCAGCTCCCAAAGCTCAGCCCTGTAAGAGCCAAATTTCTGGGGCCCTGGGAGGCATCTTTTCTTTGCCCTTTAGCTTCCTTTCATTTGTTCATTCAACAAGTATTTATTGAGCATTCTAGAGATTAGGAATACAGCAGTGACCATAACAGACCAAAGACCTGGCTCTCAGATCCCATATCGAGCATTTATATTATACCTTATTCTCTAAAGTCACAATTTCCATGGTTTCTCCACCGCTCTTCACACATTTCAGGGTTGAGCTAGTCTCTTACGGATATAGAAGACTGGACGGAAGGGTCATTGAGGACCTGTTTTTGTTTTGCTTGTGTTTTGCTTATTTAAGTTCCGCCCACTTAGACAAAACAAAAACCGAAAATACTAATTTTGTATGGTCTGGTGTTTTTATGATTTGTGGGCAGAAGAAGGAAAACTCATCCCAGCATGACAGAACATTTATGTTTTCCCAGAAAGGAAGCCTAGGTTATTACTTCAAACAAGCTAGCACAAGCAAACATAAAGTGTTTAAGTGTTTAAACATAAAAAAAAAATTTAAAAAAAGGAAAAAGGTAAATGTGAACACAAGTGCCTGCTTTTTCTTCAAGTATAGTTTGTTTATCCATGTTTAAGGAGAGGAGCAGTTTTTAAGAGTCAACGTTTTGTTTATGATTAAGATTTGGAATTTTAACTTGAATCTGAGTGTAGGTGATATTCCAAGAAATAGATAAGCCAAGTAAGATGAGTAACCTAGACTGCGAAGATCTCATGCATAGAAAATTCTTCCCTAAGCTGCTCTCCCCAGAGGATTTGAGGCATGGGCAGCAGTAAGGTTACAGACGTGGACAGCTGGTTTGCACGTGAGGGAGAAGTGGAAATGATGGTGGCTAAGGATGATGACCAGCAGGTTTATTAATCTGGCCAGTTTTCGCCCCTTTCGTGGCTCTGAAGTAGGTTTAACTGCCTTCACGTAGTTGAATACTTGAGCTTGAATAATTTTTTCCTTTACTGCGTGGGGCTGGTGTGCAGCCCTGGGGGGTTTAGAAGAGGCGAGTGCAGGAAAGCCCTGCTCTGGACTTTTCCATCCGCGCGGGCAAACAGACCAGACAGCAGAGTAGTCAGGCGTCCAGGAAACAGATGGTTGATGTTTTGAGAATTCAATATGGCGAGTAAAATTAGATTAAGCATATCA